ATATTAATAATTGTATTGGTTATAGTAGTATTAAATGAATAATTGAGTCGTTGAAAATAAAACATATGTGAAAATTTCATAGTTGTAATAATTATTTTCATTAATTTAAAACAATGAAAACATACTCTCGAATGATGAAACACATATGCTTGTTTATAGTGTTTGTGCAGATGATACTAATAAGATATTCATGAATTAATGCAAAAAATTCATTTCTTAAATAATTTCAAAAAAGTAAAGAATAGCCATTTAATTCAAAAATTTGAAAAGCAGTCGTAGTTTAGGTGGTAAAACACTTTCTTACTTTGTTAAAGAATCGAACTTGTTAACAAAACGTGAGGGTCGAAGGTTCAACTCCTTCCGATTGCATTTTATTTTTATTTATTTTTTGAAATATATAACAATAAAATTAACAATAAAAATACTATAATGAAACTAAAGAAAAACAACTATGAAATTATTATAAAAACTCAATAAATAAAACACAAATATTCATAACTTTATTATTTCCAAGAATAACACTTTAAGAATTGAAAAGAAAAAACAACAAAATATCATCAATTGAATAATTGGGAAAAACAATGTAGTTTTTATGTAGTTTAATGTAATAAATGATGAATAAATTTAAATGAGTATTGAACGAGATACTAAAATAAAGTCTCATTCAATTTCAAACACAAAACAACTATGACTCATCTCTCAACACAAAATAATAATAGAACATTGTTTAATTCATTTCACTTTCATCTAATTTCCTCTTCAAAACATCATTTCAATAACATATTTCTTTCAACCCACTATTCTTCCAGCTTCAAAACCTTTACTCTGTGATGCGTTTTTATTACAACAGTTAACTTCTTAAATGAGTGTTGAATGCTTAATACTTGATACAACTACATCTATTTCTCTTTAACACTTGTACTAGTGAAACTCAATAGACTATAACTATTCTATTTTGAATGATTCCTCAACAAAGTCTAAATCATGGAGAATAAGATTTGATAAAAATGAAAGACTTGAAATCTAAATTACATAAAAAAAACAAAATAAAGTTGGTAGTGTTGAAATAGACACAAGAAGAAAAGAGTCATT